AGTTTGAAAATGCGGGTACAGAGCTGACGAGGACCAGGGTATCGCTCTCCGTGCTCCACTCCTCTGTGGGAGGGATGCTGGTACAGACTTTCTGGAGGGGAGTTTGGCAATCGGGATCCTTCTGACCCAGAGCTCCACTTCCAGGAATTCAGCCAAGGAAATAATCATAGAGCCCCACAGAGTTGTTTGTGCTAGGACATTCATTGCAATGTTGCTAATAATAGTGAGAAATTGGAAATAATCTAAAGTTAGAGATGCGCTCAATATACACTTTGGCTGAATGCCAGATGGCCAAATGTTAAGGTCGGTACTTGGCAGAAGTCTAGGCGAATGCCCAAGATCACCTTCACGGAGCAAACGTCCTTGATAAAGGAGTACATGTAAGATTTTATCAGAGGTTATTTTTGATGACAGTTTCATTGTTAATGAATTTCATTGTCAACGCTTAGCATTGACATTACAGAGCAGGAGCAATACGTCCAGAGTGCCGGCACGGCCAGCTTGCCCCGTGTTGTGTGTTACACACGTCTGAGTTAATAAATCGATGCTTACTTTCTCCTGATGATGGAGGAGTGCCATCCTCACTTTTTCTAACAATTCCTTCTTTTCTTCGTATTCTTTATATTCCTTCCCATGTCGAGTCAAATATTATTTGCCATGGGTATTGCCACACGTGATTTTAGACGTTTTCCTCCTCATGAAATTGGGATGTTGACATTCCGTTTTTAGTTTATCTTTACAAGATGTAAAGAATTACCAACAGGGCTTTTTATTAAAGCCTCTTTGCCTAAATAGAATAAAGTAGCCAAAAGTTGGCTACATTTTTAAAGATTATTTTGTTTAGTGTTATGAATGCTAGTATCTCAAACAATTCTACAAAGATTGGAACCATGATATAGTCTAATTTCTGTTATTCTGCTTCATATTATTATTTTAACGTTTTATTGTTGTTGCCTCAAAATATATCTTCTAAAAGTATCTGGCTGACACGCTTTCTCAATATTTGTATTAGCTATCAATGTTTTCTTCTATATTTAAACACTTCAAAACTCTTTTTTTTTTTTTTGAGGAAGATTAGCCCTGAGCTAACATCTGCCACCAGTCCTCCTCCGTTTTTGTTGAGGAAGACTGGCCCTGAGCTAACATCCGTGCCCATTTTCCTCTACTTTATGTGTGGGACGCCTGCCACAGCATGGTTTGACAAGCAGTGCTTAGGTCCACACCCAGGATCCGAACCAGCGAACCCCAGGCTGCCGAAGTGGAACGTGCAAACTTAACTCCTGCACCACTGGGCTGGCCCCCTTCAAAACTCTTAAAAATTATTTCTGTACATAAAAGTGACAATGTTTATAATTATCATGAGTGATCATTTTACTCTTCCAAGAATGAATACACATTTAATCTCTGACTGATAAAATGTCAACAAATAGAGCACGAAAGAAGTGATTACAAGTTACATCCAGAAGATTATCTAGATTTGAAAGTAACTACATATTAACAATAAATCCGAATGACATGATGTGCGTGTATAACAGAGGTTATTATGCTACTTGGATGCAAAGGTTATGTCACCTGGTCACAGGATCATGGATCATACACAAATCCGGGGGACCCAGAACTGACGTGAAAGCCGGAACCTAGTGACTCAGTCTTTCAAAGACCAAGACTTAAGATAAAGCATATTTTGACCAGATACCAAGGTCAAAGCCAAATTTTGGTGCATCCCTGTGAATCTGTGTCCGTTCTGTGAGAGGGACGGACAAGCTGCCCATGAAAAACAAAGTTGCGGAAATGTGTTTATCAAACTGGAAGGATTGTCTCACTATTGTTGGATCTTAAACGCTGGATATAAGAGGATGAAAATGTGAGCTCCAATTTGTAGTTAAGGGGAAAAAATCTGAATAGATAGGTGGTTGAAATTCACATGCAAAATGTTAATGATAATTATGTCTGGGTTTAGGATTAAAGGATTTCTGCTTTATTTTTAATTTTTTTTTTTTGTATTTTCTTATGAAACGTTACTCATGTGGCTTTTAAGAATAAAAAATATTTAAAGTGCATCTTTTCTGTTTCCCCTTTCTGTTTCATCTGGGGCTGGATTTCAAGCTCGCTGAGCTGGCACATGGTCTGGGACACTGACCGCAGCTGCTTGTAGTGCTTGCTGCCGTGTTCATTGGAAGTCAAGGCCGTGGCAGGCGGGCGCTGCCCTTTCTGGGCTGCTTCTGTGAGGAGAAATGCCAAGAGGAACGGGAGGGCTGGGGGAGAGGGGAGAGGGAGGGGGCCATGGCTTACTGACCAATGAGAAACTAGACTCTCAGAGAGGCTGGAAGTGCCAGGAAAATCCTGCTTCTGTGCCGAGACCAGGGGATGGATAATTTAGATGTGTCTGAACTTTTCCACAGCAGAAGAAAAAACTCCCAAGTTGTCCCCCAAATTAATTTTCCTTTTCCTCTTTATCAATACAATTCACAAATTTTAGGTGGTTACACAACTACTTGTAGCTAGCTAGGTGTGGCCATGTGACTAAGTTCTGGCTGATGAGAGGTAAGTGGATGTGTTGTGTGCAACTTCCAGGAAATGATAAAGAGAGGGGCATGTCCTTTCTCCTTCTCACTGGCTGGAATATGGACGTGATGGCTGGGACAGGAGCAACCAATCTGGACCATGAGGCAACATGCTCAGGATGACGAAGCAACAAGATAGAAAGAGTCTGGGTACCACATGATCATGGAGCCTCCATATCAGCCCTGGACTGGCTCCTTTAAACTTTATTAAGTTTCACCTTAGTTTAAACCAGTGTTTTCTCAGGGTTTCTGTCACATGTCATAGAACCTAATCTTAATTAATTACAATAGCTATCACTTATGTAACACTTACTATGCCAGCCACCATTCTAAGTGCTTTACAGATGCCATCCTGTTTAAGCTACAAAACAACCCTATGAGGTGGGAATTATAATTAGCCTTGTTTTACAAATCAGGAGCCTGAGACACAGAGAGGTTGACCGATTTGCTTGAGGTCACACAACGAGTGACTGGTGGCACTGAAATCTGAACCCAGATCATCTCACCCCAGAGCCTGTCTCTGACTGCTCTTCTGGCTCCTTTTTATCCTCTGGTCCCATCTGACACTTCCATCCCGACCACAGGCCTCTTCATGTTAACTCCACTCCCCACCCGCTCCATTCCCCGTCTCCAGCAAAAAGCCCGTTCTCTCTACATGCTGTTCCTCTGGGAAAAGACTGACCGGTGAGTCCATGCTAAAGTGTGAGATCGACACCAGCACAGTATGTCACCACACTGGATGCGGCTTGGGTGTTGGAAGTCAAGCGACCTGGGTTTTATTTCTGCTGCTAGCAAGCTTTGCGATCTTGGCAAATCTCATAACCACTCTGAGCTCCCATTTCCCCATCTACAAAACAGGCAAGTCAGACCTTCATTAGGCAGGTTTGTTGTCAGGATTGAATGAAATAACCAGCGCGAGGCACCTGGCCCCGTCATCCTGGCACATAATGGGTGGCAGGAAATATGGATTTTTATTTAGTTGAATTCCGCTTGTCCGTTGCTCCCTCTAAGCTACCTTTAAAGGTCAGATATTGAGGTATAAGTTACATACAGTAACGTCCTCCCTGTGGAGAGCTACCGTTCTACAAGTTTTGCAAACATACAGTCATGCAACTACCACTAAAATCAAGGTATAGATCTTCTCACCCCGAATAGTCCCCTCACGCTCCTCTGCCCCCCCAAACTGTTTCTTTTTTATCCTAATATTTACTGAGCACCCATTGTGGATGAGGCTCTGTGCTGGGTCTAAGGTACAGAAACAAAGCTGATGGTAAGTTCCCTCCCTTGGGGGTTTATATCAGCTATAAAGAGACAATAAACAACAAAATAAACACACAAACAAGATTATCACAGAGGCAGTAAGTGCTATGCAAAAAGCAGGATTATTTAGTAGCTAGTAGCTGGTGGCCTATTTCCGTAGAAATGGCAGGTGCTATTGAGTTGGCATCTTTGTCATTTAAAATTCACAACAAATTCTGCAAGTTAGCTAAAATCCCCATTTAAATGGAAGGGAATTTGAGGCTCAGAGAGGCTAAGGAACTTGCTCAAGGTCACACAGCAAGTGAATGGGAAAACAGGGATTCAAGCCCAGGTCAGCAGACACGAAAAGCTCGCCCCAATAGCTCCTGTTTTTTTCATCACACCACACTGCCTGTCTCCTGGGCCCCGGGCCATCTCTGCCAGAGCAGCAGAGGAAGTTGGAGGCAGTGGGGTTCCGGGGTGTGAGGTCTGGGCTGCCTGCAGCTCTGCAACCATAACAAGGTATCTGAGAGTCCTACAACCAGCCAAGGGCACCGCAGTGACCTCGCTCTCTCCTGTCTCACCTCCCTCCTCGTCTAATTGAGCTGTCAGCCTTCCGCCTCATTCCCTCCCGTCCCGGACACCTGGCATCGCAGGGCTCTCAGCAGAGACAGCTGATCTCCTCGGGCCTCCCGAGCCTCCTCCATCGTGAAGACATAAACCGAGGTGTGTCGGACGCCGTGTGCACTCTCTCAGCCGCCTTCTTTTCTTTCCTCTCTCCTTTCCCCTCTTCTCCCCTCTGCCCTCTCCCTCCCTCCTCTTTTCCCTCCCACACCCCCCCCCCCTTCTCCCTCCCTCTGCCTCCTGCATGCTCTGAGATGAAAGGCCCAATTAATCTTGCTGCCGCCACCTCCACCACCTCCGCTGAGCCGCACACGGGGCCACAAGCATAAGAATCCCTACCAGGACTGCCTGAGCTGTCCCTGGAAACCAGGCCGAATTGGTAAAAGATCACATTCGTTTCTCCACAGCCTGAACACTCCAAAGGAGGCTCCAAGCCAAGCCAAGCCAAGATTTCCACCCTGATCCATCATCAATCACCAAGGAGATCGCTGGTGTCACCTGTCACCCAGAGGGTGACATTCAGACCTGCTGATTCTACCTTGACAGGTGAGCTTGGCTGTTGAGCATCCCCGCCCCCATCACATGCACCCTCTCCAGCACCCAGACAGCAGAGCGCTTGAGAGCGTCTGGTTCCCGTGCCGTCGGGTGCCCTTATTTATGTCATTTCACATAAATATCTTACCTAAAGGGAGATCATGCAGGGCTTTTATTCTGCAGGAGTATGTTAAATCCTTGCTTCCTTTATGCCCATGACGTGTTCCAGAAAAGTTAAGTATCGATGAGATTTTTGCATGTTAAATCACATTTTAAGTCGAACATAGGCAAGGCTTGCAAATTAAGGTGCAGCAAATCTCTGAACCTCAGTTTCCTCATAAGAAAAATGGGTTTAATCATTTCTGCCCCAGCTAGCTCGCAGGGCTGTTAAGAGACTTGTGCAATTAAATTTTAATTTCGTGGGTATACTTTGTAAACCTGCAGAGCACTTTATTCCATCCAAGTAATGTTGTTGTTAAAATGAAAACATGGTTGGCCAAGTAAATTAACCACTTCCTAATGGAAATTCTCTGAGAATTCAATTTTCCTATATTCAGTTGGCTAAGATGAAGGTTAAACCTATACATTTTTCAAATCCAGGCAGGCAGGGATGGCATCTCAGTAAGCCTTCTGAGGCTGGAGGAGCACTTTGCTGTTGCCCCTGGCTATGACTCGCTATCGGCAGTAAAGAGCATCCTGTCTGAAGATGTCCATTAAAACCTTAATTTCGGGGCATCAGTTAACCTTGAGACCCCACTCTATCTTCACCCTGATCATGAGAGCATGGGAGCATCAATAAGAGCGTGAGAATAGGGAAAATCCCCACAGCCTCCTTAGGTGTGGCCCCTGGTGTCTCAGCATGTTCTCCATCCCAAACACACAGGGAGTTGTAGGACCAGACAGACATGTGTGTGGGGTTCCCCCCTCAATGGAGAAGCTGCGTGCCGCACAGAGTTCTTCTCTTTGTACACAACATTCTGAGGCAAAATGGAATGATTGCCACTTGGGAGGGAACTCATTTTATTCAAATAACACCACCAAACAGCAAGATTTATGGCACGTCTTTCTGGGAAAGTGCTCGGCAGCAATCAGAGGCCTGTCTGTGTTCCTGCCCCCTTGGGACCGCCTGCAGGCACAGTCATAGCTCAACTATGAGAATATATGACAAGTGCACTGGAGAGTGTGGTTTATAAATTATTTTCTGACGTTGTCTATGGAGATGAGCCTACAGTTGGGGTGGGTGGTGGCAGGATGCAAGATCAATGGTGGGTGCGTCCTCGCCAGACATTTCAAAGACCTTGGAACATAGCTTTCCTCTCAGAGAGAGACCAGTATTCACTCATCAATCAATATACTTTTACTCAGTGTCTCTTCTGGGCAAACCATCCTCTGAGACGATGTGGAGGAGACCCCAAAATATTTCCAACCTAGACCAGGAGCTCTCACTTTAGTTGGAAACGTAAGGCGTTCTCATGGCTAAAGATAAGGGCCCAGAAGAGAAATAGGAGGAATAAGCAGCTAACACGGTCCCGTCTCCTGCCAGGATTGAGGCACTCACATTGTCCTGTTTGACTGTCATCACCACAAGGTAACATCTTCATCCCACTTTATGGATGGAAATACTAAGAGCAGAGAGGTTAAGTGACTTGCTCAAGGTCCCACAGCTGGTAAGTGGCAACAAAGTGTCCGTTCTTAGTCTGCTTAATTCTGATGGGGCCAGAATGGAAGTGAAGGTTTCAAATTGACCTCCCTATTGATTTTGTCGTGGATAAGCACCAATTTTAGAAAAAAAAAATAACATTTGGCTGTACTTCCTCTTATTCAATTTACTTAAGAGGTGGGGCTGAAGAACCATGCGCTCTAGATCTGAAGCTTTAATGTCCTTTTCTGTTGATAAACTATATTTCTAAGCAAACAATTGTTCTCGTCCGTTTGCATTTCCACGGCCAGATCTCTGTCTCTTTCCTGCCTGAGTACTCCCTTCCCCCACTGACATCTTCCCACATGCCTTTTGCTTCTCCCTCTCTTTGCCTCCCCTCACGCACACACAAATTCAGACACACACCTTCCCACTACACACCCAAATGCGAAATAAAATTAGAAATACCATCCGACTCTCAAGGTATTTAGGGAATGGAGATCTTCAATCAATAGAGCCAAAATCCAGCGCTCCAGGCTCCCTCCCTCCCAAGCCAGTGCAAGAGGCAGGCAGAGCTTGTGAAAAGGGCCCAGGCAGCCATGATCTTGACACAAAACAGCTCTAAAAGGCAAAAGGCCATCTGTGCTTCCCTATGTCTGCCCTGTGGCCACTGGAACTTGCAGGGCTACCAGATTAGCGGGGGATGACGCCTAGCAAGCTGTTCTCTTGCTTCCGTGCAAGACCGTGTCAGAACACGAAAAGGTTTCCTGGCCCCCTTTTTATTTTGATGTACACTGATAAAATACAGAGAAAACAAAATATGTTTTGTTCATATTCAAAAATCCAGGCTGAGCTGATAAGCATATGGTCCTCGTTTTAAGGGATTGCTCTTGTTTTAATCAACCAGTTGAGAAAGTGATGAACAATTATTTATTTACGATGCTCGCCTTCATCCAGAGGAGTGAAACAGGGCAGGTGGGTGAGCCATGACAGCCCAGGAAACTGAGGAACTGGGTGCCAATACTCCTGCAGTGTTTCTAAAGCTATTTTTACTCCACCTCCATCCCCTCCATCTGACACACACTGGCCAGGGGTCCCCCCCTCCTACTGCGTCTCAGGACCCACCTCGGAATAGTGGAGATGGGAAGAGGAAGGAAAAAGGAACAGGGAGAGGGGATACGGCTCCAGGCAGAAGCTCCCAGCTCAAGCTCTGTATCTGGATAAACCCCTCTGTGTCCTCTCTTCCCCGGCATCAGAGCTCCCCCTGGGTCTCAGGATGAGGCCCGGTTGTGCAGAGGCCGGGAGCAGGCGCATTAGTTCAAATCCAGGCTCTGTCACTTACCCGCCACATGACCTTGGCGTGTGACTGAGCCCTTCTGTGCCTCAACCTCCTCATCCACACGATGGGGGTCATCGAGCTTCTGCTGAGAGGATTAACAAAGCTGCCTTATGCTAAAGGCTTAGCACGCTGCCTGGTACATAGGAAGGGCCCAATTACTAGTGCCAATCAACACAAACTAATACTCCAATGGTGCTTACCATGGGCAGGCCCCGTTTAAGGGCTTTACATAGATTGCCACACAGTCCTCACATCTCTGTTCTACAGATGAGGAAACTGGAATCTGAAGATCACACAGTAGTGAGTGCTGGATATTCAGACCCAGGCAGACAGGCTCCAGAGTCGGGGTTCTCAACCTCTCTGTGCACAATGACGCTGATCTTTATGGGTGTTGCCCCTGGCAAGCTGAGCTCTCAAACCCCCAGGCTTCCCTCGGTCCGAGAGCGAGAGCGGAGAGCAGGGAGGGTTGTCCGCCACAGCGGGGAGGGACGGAGCAGAAGCATCCCTCTGCATGATGTGGCTAGAGCATCCACATCAGGGCCGAATCCAGAGCCTCCAGCTGGAACCGGCGGCTGAAGCCAGGCAGGGTTCCCCAGCCCTCTCCAGGGGAATGAGGGGAGGGGGGGCAGGTCCGAGATGCTGAGAGAGGTGGCCAGAGCGCCGCCCCCAGGAGGGGAGGGAGGGGTGGCGGGGCTAGGGGGTGCCCAGCTGCCATCCCCGCCGCCTCCTGGCCCCCACTCGCTGGCGCCCAAGTGGGAGGACGGCAGCTGCCCGCTCCCTCCTCCCCGCACCCCCGCTACCTGCCCAGTCCCCGAAGCGAAGCGTGAGGAGGCTGCGAGCCAGCAGGGCCGAGCCCACAACTTTGCAGCCTCGGGGAGGGCGAGAGCCGGCGTCCAGGGCTCCTCTTGTCCGCGACCGGAGCTCGGTGAGTTCGTTTCCCCACCCCTCTGCGGCGGTGCGGCGGCGGCGGCGCGGGGGGCGGCTTCCCGGGCGTCCGGGAGGCGGTGGCCAAGAAGCCGGCGGCCGGCGGTTCTGCCTGCCTCCTAGGGCTCCGGCTGTGCCGCCCTCCGCCGCGGGCGAGGCCGGCGCCGGTGCTGAACGGACAGCTCTCCGCGCCCCGGGTCGCCCAGGGGGGGTCTGTGCTGTCCCTGCTCCGGCGCAGGGCCCGGGCTGCGGCTGCCCGCCGAGCGCCTCTCACTCCCCGAGCCCCTGTCCTTCGCCTTCCAGGCGCCGCGGCGCATCTGGAGGCTGCTCCCGCGCCCCCCTGGCGACCGGCGTGGGGAAGGCACTTGCTTCTCCGGAGCCCGGGGCCGAGGGCTCTCCGGGGTGGGCAGCGCCGCCGCAGCCCCCGGGAGCGCACGCCCGGGGCGGTGCCGAGTCCCCAGCGACCACCCCCGGGCGTGCCTTGCGCTGAGCCCCTGCTGTAGAGAGAGGCCCGCGCTCCCCACGGCGGCCGCGGGTCCCCGGGGACACTGGAACCTGCAAAGGGGACTCCAAGGTGACCAGTTGCCCAATCGAGGCGGGACAGCCCGGACGGAGGCCTCGTGGCATTCGCCCATCCTGGGTGCTGCCGCCTTCCCAGAACTTTTCTCGCGCCTCGGGCTCGCCGACTCATTAGCCCCTGGAAAAGTTCTCTCGGGCGCCAGAATCTCATTTCCCGGTGGCTTCCGAAGCCTGGCAGAAACCAGCGCTGTGGAAGGCGGGGTGGAGTGGGGATGCGGTGGGGGCTGCGCTCAGCGGCGGGGGGTCGATCCGCCGAAAGGCTGGCCGAGCATCCACTCCTGCGCCCAGGGCGGGCTTGTTGGCATCGAAAGGGTTTCAGAGCCATCGGGGTTGTTTGGGTTTCTCGCCCCAGGAGGGCGGGAGGAGGGCGCGAATGGGGGATTTTAATTTCGTCGCCTCAAAATGAAAACGCTCCTCGCAAAGAAATAGCCTGGGCAGCCAGCGTCGGAGAGATGGGCTGACCGGGACCAGCTGACACAGGTATTCCGGCTGAGCCCCCCATCGCCCCGCACCGAGTGCCTGAGCGCGTGTGTGAATGTATCGATTGTTTTAATTGATTTTTTCAAAAAGCCAAGTGGCAGAGGTCGAGTGTGTGTACGCACAGACATACACAAACACAGATACCCAGGCGCACACAGATTACACGTACAGAATCAGACACAAGGAAACCCCACCCCCCCTACACACACACATACATCACGGACGCACAAGCACACAAACCTCCAAAGAGCCTTGGGTAACCAGTGAGGTTCCTGAGCATTGCCCAAAATGTGTGGGGGTGGGGTGGGGGCAGGAGGAGAAGAAAGGGGAGGGGAAGCGGGACTTCCAGTTGGTCATTTCTCTCCGCCCCTACCCCAAATCCTTCGATTTCTCCTCATAGGGGGTCTAAAGGAGAAATCCCAAATCTGGGCTCATTTCCACTGCCAGAAAGGAGCGGAGCCCTAGCCCCGCCCGGTTCCTCCCTACAGAGTGCGAACAAGCCCCGACCTCGCCCTCCTTGTGCCTGACCCCGGGGCGCCAGGTCGCCTAGGTCGCTCAAAAACCGAGGGAGTGGGCACGGGGAGGTAAAGCCTGGCACGCAGGGGTCTTTGCGGTCTTGGGGTCTCACGCCTGCTTGGTCCGGGCTTAGGGAAGAGAGGAGGGATGATCCGAGGGACAGGGTTCGAAGAGCATGGATTTGAGTGGAGCGGACGGACATACAGCTCTGGAGGAGCGCCCTAGGGCGCCCCCTGGACACAGCGGTAAGTCTTCCTCTCACCCCGGGCTCCTTAGGAATGTAATCCAGGATGCTGGCCCTGAGGCTGCTCAACGTGGTGGCCCCCGCCTACTTCCTGTGCATCTCCCTGGTGACCTTCGTGCTGCAGCTCTTCCTCTTCCTGCCCAGCATGCGCGAGGACCCCGCGGCCGCCCCGCTCTTCTCGCCGGCGCTGCTCCACGGGGCGTTGTTCCTGTTCCTCTCAACCAACGCCCTGGGCAATTACGTCCTGGTCATCCAGAACTCTCCGGATGACCTGGACGCCTGCCAGGGGGCCTCGGCCAAGAGGGCTCCATGCCCCCCGCCCAGCACCCACTTCTGCCGAGTGTGCGCCAGAGTCACCCTGAGGCACGACCATCACTGTTTCTTCACCGGCAACTGCATCGGCAGCAGAAACATGCGCAACTTCGTCCTGTTCTGCCTCTACACCTCCCTTGCCTGCCTCTACTCCATGGTGGCCGGCGTGGCCTACATCTCTGCCGTCCTTTCCATCTCTTTCGCCCACCCCCTGGCCTTCCTCACGCTCCTTCCCACCTCCATCAGCCAGTTCTTCTCTGGTGAGTGGGTCTTGGCTGGCAGGTTGGGCCCAACACGGACTCCCCTACCCCGACACCAAGTTTGCCAGATGTAGCAAATAAAAAGACGGGATGCCCAGTTCAATTGTAATTTCAGATAAACAATGCATAACTTTTTAGTATATGTCTTAAATATCACATGGGACACACTTATACTAAAAAGATTAACTATTATGTGTCTGAAATTCAAAGTAACTAGCTAGGCACGCTGTATTTTATCTGGCAACCACCCTTCCTCCCCCCAGCCATCCTCATAGATCATCTCCTCCTTGTCACCACTGACTATTTATTCATAAAATTGTGCTGATGCAGACACTACCCTGCTCTGTGTGAGATGGGGCCGGGTGCTGGCCATCCCTCCAGGCAGCCTGTGAGGTCACCCATGCTGTGACCTGCCTCTGCCTGGACTCCAGTCTTGCTCACACACCCCCCCCCCCCAAGGACTTTGCCCTCCAAAGGCCTTGCCAACCGACCACAGTAAGGTTGACCAGGGTGCCAGGCCAGCCCCAACAGAAGGCTGAGCCCTACCCTTCTGCCCGCTATGTCTGGACCCACCAGGCTGTTCTCCAGTCTGCAGATGGCTCAGAGCAGGGGGACCCTGGCTGGAGATGCAGCCATATTTAATGGCTCCATCTTCACACCACAGAGCCATGGGACTGGTGTGGGGTCTGACCATCCAGGAGGCTCTGACACCTGTAGGAGCCAGGCATGTGGGTCTTCAACAGGCACGCAGTGGGGCACCCTGGTGAGGACTGTATTTTATATAGTGTGCCCCAAGGAGAGCTCTCTGATACCTGGCCCAGAGGGACCTGGCTCCTGGTGGCAGTTCTTACCACTTTTACCTGGCCTTGAAATTTGCCTCTACCTGACTGCCTTCCACCCCATCCCTACCCTGGCCTTTGACTCCATCTCACTTAGCTCTTAGAAATGGTGGCATGCACATATGTATGTGTATGATATGATCTCCATTTCTCAGATGAAGAAATTGAGGCTCAGGTGGGATTAAATGGCTTGCCCAGGATCTTACTACTACTGAGTAGCAGTGTCTGGCCTGCCCCCAGGTCTTTAAACAACCCCCAGCAGCACAGGGAATACAGCGTGGTTCCTCACCCACTGACCATTCAGAGACAAAGTGAAGCTGCTTCCACTGAGAACCCGAGGTTGTCTTGATGGGCCTGGGCTGGACATTCATAGAAATTCTGCTCCACTCCTCCGGGGGAAGCCATCATTTCGATCTTTGTTGGGGCTGCAGTCCGGTCCTTCAGGTGTAGAACTATCGTGCCATTTAATGGTGGGAATACAGAGGCCCAGGAAGGACCCAGCCGTGGAGGTTTCCTGGAGGTCTGGCTGAGCTGGGCCCAGAACTCAGAGCTCTCGGGCCTTCTGGATCCTGGCGCTGGCATAGGAGGCTGCTGGGACCGAAATAACCAGGACGGGGGAGGGTAGGTGGGCAGGCTGGGGGAGGAGTGTGAGCACAGACAGGTGGAGGGATGAGGAGAGCCAGAGAGCCTCATTACACTTTCTTTTCCAAGTAGTTTTATCACATAAAAATGGATGGTTCCAAAGAGAGGATCTTGAAATGGTTTGATTTGAGATAAGCCTGGGCTTGAGGCCTGTCCATATGTGCTAGGTTTGGGAGACAGAAAGAAAGGAAGAGGGGCCTCTTGCTTTGATCTGATGGGAGAACCGAGCCAGTCAGTGCCTACCTGGGGGCCCAGATCCCTGTTCCAGCAGAAGGATGAGTCCCACTATCTTTTACCCCATACCCACTAGGAAAAGGGGGCCAAGACTTCCAATCTCCAATTCTCCCATCTCATCTTCCTCCTTTGCCAAAATGTCATCTTTCCCCTTGCCAGCCATTCTGTCTCCTCCCCCACACATAGGGCTCACCTCTTCAGCTTCTCCCTTCCCATCGCTTCTCCTATTCTCAACCCAAACAGTTGAGGGCATGCCCTCTCTCATCTGCTCAAGAGGACAAGTGGATAGGAGGGGGTAAGAAGGAACAAGCTGTTTAATAGAGTGAGCTATCCCCAACTGTGGTACTTTTCCTGAGTCAGATCTGCCACCAGAGCATGAGATGGCTGTGAGTGTGGGCCCTGTGAGCTAGAAGTAGGAGGGGTCTTCCAACGTGAAGGTGGCTGCTGACCACAGGCCCTCCATGGATGCCAAAGAGGTAGGAGACTGGCCAGTTAGATTTTAGAAGTTGTCCTTTCTTTTGGCTTCATGGGACCAGTACAGATTGTGTCACCTCTCTGAGCCTGGTTCTTCTTATCTGGGAAATGGAGATGACACCACCCGACCTGTGTCATGGCATTTGGATAAGTACGCTGGCATGCTGGGTGCCACCGGAAAGCCCAGTAGAAGGGAGAGGGGACTGACGTTTGCTGAGCATCTGTGATGTGCTACCCACTGGGCAGGGCTTAATTTGTCCAATCCTCAGTGCGAGTCTGTGAGTCCTAAAGGCTCAAGAATCAGACTCAGCAAGGTTAAGATGCTTTGAGACCACACCGCTGATATGATTCCAACCCAAGATTTGGGCTCTGGGCTGCTGGCTGATGCTCTTTCCACTACACCACACTGCCTACCGGGGGCTGCTTCTTGATGAATGAGCCACTTTGGGAGGGAGGGAGCTTCTTGTCCTTGGATATATATTCAAAATGCTGGGTGATGATGTATCAAAGGTGTTATAGATGCTTGGTGGGAAGCCAGGATGGAGAGATGGGATGGTGTGACCTTTAAGGCCCTTTAGAAAAATTCTGTAATTTTTCTAAAAGAAGCGGAACTATTATTAAATAGTTCAGGATTTGAGGCTGCCAGCCTAGGCAACTTCAAACACTTCGAGAGAAAGCAGGTCCCCAGAATAGCCTTTTGTAGCTGCTGCATGGGGCCAGGAAAAGGCCACAAGGTCTTTTCTGCTGCCTTGATTTAGTACCAGAAAAAAGCCTTTGGAAAACAGCTTCCGTCAGCCCAGGCTTGTCCCTGGGGTTGAGTTGCAAGGCAGGCCTGAGCCTGACAGCTCTGATGTTCTCACATCCCAGCTCGAGGGCCATCTTTGCCTGTCAGCATTCCTCAAGCCCAGAGGGCACCATGGCCCCAGGATCCTTCATCCCGCACGTGACTGCCTGAGCTAACCTGTGCTGACAAGGAAGAAGTGGGTCAGAGGAATGGCACAGCCCAATGTGAGCCCTGTCCCACTGCTGCCCCCATGCCAGCGGAGGGGCTGTGCTCAATGCCAGCTGAAGCGAGCTTTCCATGTGCTGGGCCGCTCGACTTATTCCTCTCCAACTTTGCAAAGAGAAACCTGCTCTCAAAGCTCCTGGGGTTGAGGGCAAGGGGAGGCTGCTAGTGAGCAAACCTGAACCAGATCCACATCCTCTTGGCTGCTGAGTCCACTGCTGCTGAGAATGGACATGTTTTAAAAGCCCAACCCTCAGAGGTGTGGAAAATGGAGGCTGGGGAGACCAGGGAAGAGGTGGGCTGAGGCCAGGGGACAGTGGGAGAAGAGCAGGATATGGCTGAGATTTGCAGAGGTCGAATAGGTTGGAAGGTGGGGTCTCTGGGGCAGGTAGCTTCACCTCACTGGAGTGGGTGGTGGTGGGCTTGCCCTGCCTGCCAGGAGAGGGGCTGAGGAGGGCTTTGGAGTTGTCCCTGGACCCGCTGCCCTGGCTGTAGGTGTCTCTACCACAGCTGCAGCTGCCAGAGTGGCGGTCCAGCCAAGACTGCAAGCCTTGGAAAGGAGGAGAAAGCTTGATGGCCTTAGGAGTTAACCTTGAGCCTTTTTTTTGGATGTAGTCTGTTCGTCTGTGAATGACCATGAGCAGGGAACACTGCCCTGAGCGTGAACCAGAATGCTGGCCACTTTGCATGCAATTCCCTTGAATTGTGCAACTCTATGGAATCATTATTATTATGCCCATTTTTTAGATGTGCCAACTGCAACTCAAAGAGGTTAAGAAACTTGTGCAAGTCCACAGAGCTGGGAGATTCAAATCTAGCATGGACTGATCAGCCCTGCTCTGAAGAGGAGTGTGGGATCTCTTACTCAGTGGATGTTTAAAACCAGTAATAGAGAGTGCTGGTTCAGGGGAGGTCCCGCTCAAGGCAGGGGGCTGGCCTGATGACCTTGGGGACCTCTTCCAGCCTTAGCAAACTCTGATTGACAGGACAGCTCTGGCTGAATGTTCTGGTGGCCACATAGTCCTCTTGTTAACATTAATGACTGAATTATTCTCTAAGTCGGTGCTCTGCGCTTCCCTTGAGCCTGAGCTCATGACTTATTCTTCTTGATGACTAGGCCCTATTCTCGATCATGCTGTCACTTCCCTGAGTGCTCCCAGCCAGTGCTCCCAGCTCCACAGAGAGAAGGTGCTTCAGTCTAGACAGCTGCCCAGGCACCGGCTCTCTGTCTAGGTCCTCAGCTCACCCCTCTCTCCTCCTGAGAAAAACCCCTTCTCTCTGTTTCCAGCCAGAAAGAGAAGGCTGAGAGAGACGGGCATCTCTCACCCTAAGGAGATGTTAGCATCTGGGCGCTGCCTGGCAAAGCTTCCTTCCCTTCTCTCCCAGGTCCCAGGTTCTCCCCTCTCACCTTAGGAGCCAACAGCACTAAGGAAAGGTTAGGGCAACTAGTTTATCCTTCCTCTCCCACGCTGCAGTGCGGAGATTGCCGCCAAATGTAGCTCCAGTCTCATTAACCTCCCTCCCTCCCTAGCGGAGAGCGCCTGCCTGTATGGCAGTTCCTTTACGTGGCCTGGGTGTAAGCAATTCTGGTGTTTCCCCGCCCCCCATGCAGGAGCTGTCCTCGGTTCTGAAATGTTCGTCATCCTCATGCTCTACCTCTGGTTTGCCATCGGCCTGGCCTGCGCCGGCTTCTGCTGCCACCAGCTGCTGTTGATCCTCCGGGGGCAGACCCGCCATCAGGTGCGGAAGGGGGTGGCGGTGAGGGCCCGGCCCTGGCGCAAGAACTTACAGGAGGTCTTCGGGAAGAGGTGGCTGCTGGGCCTGCTGGTCCCCATGTTCAATGTCGGAGGTGAGAGCTCAAAGCAGCGGGACAAGTAGCAGGCACTCCCATCATTTCTATGTGTGTGTGTCTTGATACCTCCTGAACGTTAGACCACGGCATCCTCGTCTCCACCCATGACCCACTACGACCTCGTGCTGGTAAGGTCCTAGCATCTACCCCTGGTCTGTGACACATAGAGAACAGTGTTGGCTGGTGGATCATGACAAGGAGGAAAAATGACTGCCCAGGCATTGCTAGGCTCCCTGCAAGCCAGCCAGGTGGCTGCTAACTGTTAGGAGAACTCTGCTTTTGTTTCTTCTGTTGGGGTCCCCGCTTTCCCCTTCTGCCTGGCTCGTCCACTCTCTATCATGTCTCATGTCATCACTGCTATCTGCTAGCACTCTTCCTCTTAGCCCCACGTTGGGAATTGGGAGTGAATTCTTGCTGCTGGTATGATGCTCCCAGGGACCTGGAGGCTGGCAAAAATGTTTAAAATTACCATGTCTGAGAGGCAGCCAAATCAGCTCTACCAACTGCTGGAGACATTGGGAAAGGAGGGGAATGTGTCCTTATGCCCTCTGTGCAGTTGTGGGCAGTGGGAGGGAAAAAGAACTTAGTAGTTTGCTGTCCATCCCCCTAAGTTGCAAGACCCCTTCTCTGGGAGACAGCAGTCAATGGCCTGGGACTTCCAGCTGCTGTCCCCTGTCTGCCCTGCACCCGCTGGCCACCCCAGCCCGGCCCAGGACCTGGCTGGATGCTTCCTTTCCTTGGCACTCTTTCAGCCCTTTCCCTTGGACTCCAGCCTCCGGGTCTTTGCTAGATGCTGGGAAGGGAAGGAAGAAGGGAGAAGGAAAGAGGAGATACTGATCAATGAAGTTGGCATGTGACTGCATACGTGTATAGAAGGGGACGGGTGTGTGTGGTGGGGGGTGGGGTGGAGAGAGATAATGAAGAGTGCAATATGAAAACAGGGGAGGAATGCTTAGGGGAGGGGAGGAGAGAGCATCACAGACATTGGGGAATAAGAATGAGAGAGGCAAATGGGTTCCTTTCTGCCCTGTATAAAGGATATTCTAGCAGCTAAAGCTGTTGTGTTTACATGGCTGCCTGGGGAGGTAGTGAGTGCCCCCAAGACTGGAGGTATTCCAGACACAGGGACTAGGCAGTCATCTGGCAGGCATGCCATGGAAAGAATTTCTGCACAGGGTCAGGAAAGGGAAGAACTCTTCCCACCCCACAATTCTAGAGTCCTCTTCACAACCGCTAGGTCCAGAGGCCAGGTCTGCTGAGATGCCTGTGAGTTATGCACTTTCCTGGAGGGTGGGGCATGCATGGAGGGGTCTGAAAATCATGATGCAAACTTCCAGGACCCTACCAAGCCACCAAGGAGAGGGTCTGTGGAGAGACAGGACTGCGGGGTGTTAATGATAGTTGAAGGCGTTAGCATTTGAGGACAGGGAAATGGAGCAGTGTCAGGGGCAGGTGGGGCCAGGGGTAGGGAGAGCAGAGCTGGAAGGTCATGCTCAACTCTGAGAGGCAAGATTGGGAGAGTTGAAGCTGGAATGGGGGAGACCAGAGTTCAGGGGTGCAATTGCCAGACCAGCCCCACTTATCTGACTGGCTTTGTTTAGGGGCACTGCTCTGTGTCCTGGGGACCTAGAGGACCAGACCCCTGGGGCATATTAGGGAGTGGGGACAACACAAGTGCCCCCTCCTGACTGAGTCCCAAGGCCAGTCTGCCATCCATGCGGGCAGCAGAGCTGAAGCCCACGCTCTACAGTGTCCAGCTAGTGGTCACAGTGACCCCAAGTGTTGCCAAAGGACACCCTGAGTTCTTGAGCCCAGCGTGGGAGAACTTAACCCTGATCCTGCCTCCACGCCCCCGAGAGAGGTAATGTAATGAGGACTCCACCAGCTCCTGCTTCTCCCTCCCATGTTCATTCATTCATGCCTCCTACATATATTTATTGAGCACCAACTATGTCGCGAGTCTCTTCCAGACAGTGACATACAGTGAACAAGAGAACAAGATCCCTGCCATTGGGGCATCTTGTCACTGCCCCCATGCAGGGACTCCCACTTCCTGAAAAATGGTCACTGCCACCTTGGTGGTCAGCAGGGCAGGTCACTTGAAGGGGAACAATATGCCAGAGAGGGTTGAAGGGGAGCCCAGGCTGCCTGGATGAAGGAGTCATTAGGGGGCATCCTCACCCCCAATTCTGGCCATACTTAAGGAGCAGGAGTGGAAGAGGAGAGGGGAAAGGCCCTGGGTAGTCCAGGCCTTGGCTCTCTTCTGGCCCCAAAGCTCTAGCTTGGAAGCTAGCCCTGCCATTCCCAGCTTCTTGGAGCCTCAGCACTGTGAGGCTTGATGTCAGAGAAGAGAGAAAAGGGAAACCTACAGGGGTCGGCTCCGTGCTGATGGCCAGTGGGGGCCAGTGGGAGGCTGCCGGGCGTGGGATCGAGTGGCATTTGTACACATGGTCTGTACTGTCGATGAAGAACATCAATAAAATATGTGGTTTTAAATTGGATTTTCTGTGATCATGTGGGCACTGTTGGTAGCGCGGCTGGCAAGGCTGCAAGGCACTGACGCAGTCATACTGGCTGTTAAAATATTTAAGGTAAGTATCACAAAGACTTCTGTCTCAGTAGGTAAATAACCATTGTCTGGACTCCCTGAGTAACCCACCCCTGCTGCCCCAGCTGTTCCAGCCCCTCCCCGGGGATCCCTGGCCCACTTCACTCCAGCAATTAAAAGGGCACTGCCTGGCACCTGTGTGAGAACCCTAGAACCCTGCTCCAGCCCTTCTGCCAGTGTCCATTGTGATTGGTCAGGGTTGTGCTGCGTGGTTGGTAAATGTATGAATATTACCCCCGGGTGGGAGCAGGTCTGCTGTGCTGGAATCTGTGGACCCACGGGACCAGGGGTGGAATGTCTAACCTGGGAACCTTCCTTCTCCTCCCCAACTCCTCCTCCCCTTCCCATGTCAGAGGACAGGTTGGGAGAGAATAAAGAGGGGAATCCACCTGCTCCTCCACCACAGCCAGAGCTGACCACCCCGAGGATCAGCCAGGGTCCCCCCGCCCTCTCAGCCCCTACAACACCTGGAGACCTGGGGCTGTCCAGCCCTGGGGGCAGCTGGGAGGGGGTTGAGCCTTGCAGGGAGGGAGTGGTCCCTGAGCAGGCAAGTGGGCATGACCTCTGATGCAGCCTAAGGACATGCAGGCCTGGACTGATGGAGGACACAAGTGCAAAGTACTGACTGTACTTGCGCTGTTGAAGAACTTTCAGCCTAGGCCGGTGTTGTATACAGTCTCCATTCCCTGAACACATGCCAACAGGCAACCAGCAAGGCAGCCCCGGATATGCTGGGACAGGTGGGAGGGGATGAATGGAGCTGTGGCTAATCTAGCACATTCTAGAGCATGAGCTGTCTACACTCAGAGGGCAGACACACCTGCCTTGCCCACCATTGTATCCTTCATGCCTAGCAGGGGCTGGGCACAGAGTAGGTGCTCTATAAATACTGACCGAATGAATGCGCAGACTGTGTGCTTGCTCACTCGCTCCACATTTCTTCCTCTGGTATGCCACTGTGCTATGCACACTGTGGGGCTGGAAGACAGACAAGACAACTCTGTCCTCCAGGGGTTCATATCCTGGGAGAGGCTCCTGGGAGTGCTCGGAAGAGGAAGAGAGCACATCTAGGCCTGTACCTGGAACCGTGAGCATAGGTGACAGCACAGAGAAGCAAAGGGAGTCAAGGCTAAGAGTTGGAACCTGAGTAGAGGGGGGCCTGAATGCCAAGCTAAGAGATCTGGAGTGAATTTGACAGGTAATAGGGAACCATCAAAGGTTGTGAGCAAGGGAGCTACATGATTAGAGCCGGATTTCAGAAAGCGGAGCCTTGGCGGATAGACCGGAAGTGGGAGGGACCCGAGAAGAGGCATTTGCTGTGATCTGAGTGTGACATACCCAGAGTCTGGGAGGGCACAGTGGCTGTGGGCTGGTAAGGAGGGAAAGGTATCAGAGCCACTTCACAGACAGGGAGCAGACTGGAGGGGTGCTGGGGAGAGGGTCCAAGATGAGCCGAAAGGTTGAGATGGGGTGATCAGGGTGACCTCAAAGGGTAGGCCATCAGGAGCACTGGGGTGGGGAGAAGATCATGATTCTTGGGCTCAGGGCCACCCAAAGCTCTCATCTCTGTCTTGTCCCATCGGTTGGCAGTCGGTGGTATCACTCATAACTAACCACTCCGCAACCTTACACGGAGGAGGGGGTTCGGGGCGATCTGCACATCCTATGTTGCAGCACAACTCTCTGACTCCCAAAGCCCGGGGAACCATCTGCCTGTGCCACTAGAGGTCCTGGGTCCTCTGGCCTCCACACCCACTGTCCAAAGGAGTGGGACACTTGGCTCCTCAGTGTCTTGATTTTCCCATCTGGAAAGGAGGCACTCGCTTTAGCCCATACCCTAGTGTTGATTAGGCAAAATCTGAACTGCTGCCCTTTAAGCTCCGGGAACCAAGGGGGCTTTGGGAAGAGGATGAACTCAAGGGGCCCTGAACCCCATCCCCCTCCGCTATAACGAAGAAGCCAGTCCTCAGGTCCCAGGGGCCATCTTATAGCCAGTCTCCTTCCCTAAGAACATGGTTGTCCCTGTCACTCCATGCATTTGGTTCCCCAAATGCCCTGGCTCCTCTTTGTACCCTGTGGCCTTCAAATGGCCTCATTGCTCCCCCTTGTCCCCTCCTGTCCTGCCTCTGGGCATGCTCTCAGGGATACTTGGAGGCAGCCCATCCTGCTGGGGACAAAAAACGGGGATGGTCAGGGAACAAGGATGCATTGCTTTTGCCTTGTCTGAGATGCTTTAGAGATGAGGCAGAGCTTGGAGCTGATCGCCAGCCAGGGCAAGCCTGCTGGTGGGGCAGGGGGTGTCTGAGGTAGCTTAGCTGCTCCTGATGTCGGCCTCTGCCTCTGCCTCCATTTCTCTCTCTGAGGGTGGTGCTGAGCCAGCTCCTCCATCCACTCCTCAAGCATTCAATGACGCCAAATCAATGTTAGGCATGATGCCAAGAACCAGGAAGGCAAAGATGAATGAGACTCATTACCTGATCTCGGGAGCTCACAGGGAAGAGAATCAATGGCAGACGAATGTGGTTCAGTGGCATGAGAACGCTGATGGGAGGGAGAAGGACAGGGTGCTATGGATGCCCAGAGGAGGGCACACACTCAGCAGCGGGTAGGCTGGAAGACTTCCCAGGGAAGGCGACATCAGGGTCACAGAGGATGAATAGGAGTTGGCCAGACAGAAAAGTAGGACCGTGGAGTGGGGTGGAAGGGGTCATGAAGAGGTAGGTCCGCAGGTGATTTGTGGGCATCGCAGTCTCCATTTAGAGTGATGGGGGCACAAGTAGGCACCCTGCAGCCACAGTGGGAGAAGACCTTAGTCCTCAGGCCATGCTCCCCATGGACCCTGCCTCCTTCCTCTGATCACTTCTTACAAAACCTAACTCACCCTAGCTCAAGGTGTTCCACTTGGGTGAGTCAATCACGAACTGACATCTAGTTTTTCTAAACAATCAGCACCGTCCTCCAGGTTGGAGACCAAAGGCAGAGGGTCACATTCATTCCCCAGGGATTCAGCCTTACGCTGCTGGAGAGCTCAGCAGGGAGTGTAACCGCAGGCCCTTCAGGATCAGTTCAACTGACTCCATCTTAACAGAGCCATTAAGAGTGGTCTTTCAGGAACTGAAACCCCTTGTCCAGTTCAGGCCAGTTAAGACCATCAACCCATCAACTGGGCCTGCAGCTATACTCGATAAGGGCCTTTTTGATGTCAAGAAGGTAAAAATTCCACCCTCAGGTCATGGGAATGCCGCCATTTTGTGAACATGCGTCCTATGAAGAGCCATGAAGCTTGACTACGTTTGCGCAGAGCATCAATTACCTCACTTCTCCTTACTTTCAACCATCTATTCCCACACTTCAGACCACCTTGCCCTCCACCCATGAACACCCCCTAGTCCTCATTTTTGGGGAAGCGGATCTGAGATGGATTCTCCTGCCTCCTTATTTGGCCACCTTGTGATTAAATTCTTTCTCTTTGCAAACTGATCATCTCGTCATCTCGGTGATTCGCATAATCGTGTGGCAGGCAAAAATGAAGCTGGGTCGGCAACAGGAACATCAGAGATCTCTGGACCTCTCTCTGAGCCCACAGAGGGGCCTCGGGGACTCCCCACCACTCCTTCCTTCCTGCACCGCCTCAGCAAACGGGGTTGAAGGAAACTGTTTTTACGAAGATGGCTTCCAGGAACTAGAGTAAACTTGAAAGGCTAAAATCCTGAAATGTAGGGATGACCTTTCATGATGTTCAATCCCCATCCTGACTGGCGAGGCCAGCGTCCCCGATGTGGCCCTCTGCACCCCGGTGGGCATGCCATCACATGTCTTTTCCTTTAGCCTAGGCCTCTCCCAGCCCCCCTACATCCCACATCTCCACGGGGCCTTTCCTCAGCTGGTCCAGCCCCCGGGGGAGTCTCCCCCTACGCCCGGCAGCTCTCCTGACTCACTCTCTCCTGTGTGGGTTTCATCTCCCAACGCTACTGTCAACATTGGAATCCGGCTTCCCCCATACCTAGCACGTAGTGTAGCATACTGACACTATTGTTGAAGCAATAATTCTACTACGAGTAATAATGATCAGCGTTTACTGACCATTCACGACATGCCAGGCCCTTGTCATACACACATGTAACCTACATTAACTACTTATTCCTTATAGCAACCCCTTGAAGTATACTATGTTATTACCCCTATATATAAGAAACTGAGGCACAGAGAGGTTACATAACTTTCCCAAAGCCTTGCAGCTAATAAGTGGCAGAGGTGGGATTCGAACCCAGGCTGCCTGCTGCTGAGTTTATCCTTTTAAACTAGACAATAGGCTATCTTTCCATCATGGACACTTGTACACACCCAATCAATTCCCTGCTGAAAAGTAACAAGGAGTGGAGTTCTCACTCATTAATTCATTGATTGACAGATTCATTCAACACTAATGCCTAGTTTATTGAGCCCCTGCTATGCATCAGGCACCGGCTGAGACAGAGAAAGCAACCAGGCTCAGCCTCTGTCCTCACAGAACTGACAGTCAGCTGCTTACGGTGACTGTGCAGGTGAGAACAGGCTGGCTTCATGGCCTATGTGATTCTGATCCCTCCCACACTGATGTTTATGGGGGCAAGTTGCCCTGGATGGAGCAGCTTCTTCTGGAGGCTGATGGCAGAGGTCTGAGGACAGTCCAGGCTGGGGACCCTACCCCAGGGCTCGAGGATGATGCCTAGCCAGGGAAGGAGGTCTGAGCTGCTTCTGGGCCGCTGACCTGCCAGGCAGCGTCAGGGTGCCTGCAGGAGGTGGACAGCCACTGCCAGAAGGCAGAACACAGCTGGGCACTCTGCTCCCGCCCCTGGAGACCAGGGCAGGGGGGCACCAAAGACCCCAAAATGGAGTGGACTCTGAGGAGAA